AAAAAAAGTCAGAATTGCGAGAAAAAAGTCAGAATTGTGAGATAATCCTTACTTCCATAGTATAGTGATGAATCATGAATATTTTTTTTCCCCAGTGATGTCTGTGTCATGTTTTGTCTCCATTAAGGAAAAGTGGAGTCAGCAGTGTTTAGACTCTATAGTTGTGTGTGGGTCTCAGGTGCGGGCGGCGGTGTTCTGCGCGGGACAGATCGCTCTGGTGCCCTGCTCCATGCAGCTGGTGAAGGGCCCGGTGGCTCTGCTTCAGTCACATGGAGAAGGGTCTGCGATGGACTCCAGACTCACACTGGCTCACGTGCTGCAGGCGCACATCTACATCACTCACCGTGAACACACTGCAGCCGTCACAGAGACCTGGGACACCAAACTACAGGACGTCCAGGTGAGTCAGTCACTGCTTTAACAGCCCATAAACACAGTGGAAGCTCACTGGTCCAGCATTGTGCTCCACATACCTGTATATTACAGATGAAATATCTTTTGATGGACTGTGATTCTGCAGATCTCACTCAGGTGAGATGAAAGCGTGGCTGTTAGCATGACCCGCTGTCCTCAACACACTCGACAAAAAGTTTTTTTTTTTCCAGAGTTGTTTGTCAAGAGGGAATATTTCTGTAAAACAGGTGCACGATAAGACTGCATAATATTGGAAAAAAACTGACATTGCAATATTTAGTTTTTATGCAATATATTGTGATACTAAAAATACAGTCGATATTTGGACAGAATGAATTATTCTAGAATGTTAGGGGTGATCTTGTAGGGATGTGCATCTGCATAGAAAATGAAGATGCTGTTAAGATGTGTTTTCATTGATCCGATCACAAGTGGACAACACTAAACACAGGTGAACGTTTTCCACGGTCGACCGCTTCCAGAGGTAGTCGTAAACGTTCTCCTTTCCGCTGACTGAGCTAATTCTCAAACACTATCATGTTCATTTCCTATCCGTTAAGCACCAAAATTAGAAGGTTAAATTCGATTAAGATTAAATTTCAGTCAGTGTGTGACCCATTAAAGACTCTTTGGATATATGAAGGATGCAATGCTACTCTATAGGTACTCAAGATTAACATGAGATCGGCAGAAACTGTGTGTGTTACGTCCCCTTTAAATCAAGATGCATTTACTTCAGATGCATGTTGAACAGATGGACTCTTGTTTTCTGAGAAATTGAACAGAATTGTTTATGATTAAAATAAAAACCAACATCGTCAGTGCAGTTGAAAACTGGTTTTCCCTTTGAATTGAGTTGAGTTTTCTGAGACCATATTGACGTACGTTAATTTAACTTCTTCCTTAAATTTTCTTTACTTGGTGTTAAAACTTGGTGACAACTATGTTATGCACGCTCTACAAAACTGTGAAAGCTCCTGAAGCTCTCGCTGAACGGCGCTCTGATTGATCAGCTCACATGTAGTTATGACGATTACTGAGAGATCAGATATCAGAAACGACTCTTGACACCAGACCATGCTCAGATACACACACTAAATGCACAGATTGTGGAGTGATGATGCCCACCAGGACTGCGTTTATTTGATCTGAAGTACAGTAAAAATTGTGAAATATTATTACAATTTAAAACAGCTGTTTTCTATGTGAATATCTGTTAAACTGTAATTTATTCCTGTGATCAAAGCTGTATTTTCAGCAGCAATTACTCTAGTTTTTAATACTTTTATTCATAAAGTACTCATTAAATTGATCAAAAGTGAGAGGAAAGAGATTTATAAAATTACAAAAGATTTCTATTTCAAATAAATGCTGTTCGTTTGAACTTTCTATTCATCTGTTAATCCTGAAAAATAAAATATAGTTTCAAATATTAATTTTTTTCTCCACAAACATTTTAAAGAAGTCTCTTCTGCTCAGCAAGGCTGCATTTATTTGATCAAAAACACATAATTTATTTCTGTGATCAAAGCTGTATTTTCAGCATCATTACTCCAGTCTTCAGTGTCACATGATCTTCAGAAATCATTCTAATATGCTGATTTGCTGCTCAAGAAACATTTCTGATTATTATCAATGTTGAAAACAGTTGTGCTGCACAATATTTTTGTGGAAACCGTAATGCATTTTATTTTTCAGCATTCACAGATGAACACAAAGTTCAGAAGAACAGCATTTATTTGAAATAGAAATCTTTTACTGTCACTTTTTCATCCGTTTAATGCGTCCTTGATGAATAAAATTATTGTACACATGTACAGTGACATTGATAGTGAGAATGACCTTTGAGAAAAATGTGAATTACAAATGGTAACTTTCTAGATTTCTTAAATCTCGAAACTCTGAGAACGAATTTTTCATGTTAATTAACTGTGATGAGAATTTGGCAGTTTCATGTGCTGGAAATATGATAAACCATCACAATGCAAAAAATCATAATGATCAGATTAGACCAGATCAGGCCGTGCCAACTGTTCTGAACCCAACAACGATGCCGCAAACGGTAAGTAACGTGGTATTTAATGTAAAAACTATTTTTAAAACGGTAATGCATAGGCACTGATGCTAGCCAATCATAAAAGTGGGCGGGTACACTGACCTCTTAAAGGGAAAACACCCCAAAACTGACTGTTTCAGTCAGAGGATGAGAAACAGGGTGGAAAAAGGTCATAAATCACTGTTTTTTGTCCAAAAACTTTAGTAATATTATAATTACACCTCAGGGAACATAATAAAAAAATAAAAACATGTCATGTTACGGGGTTGAGAATGAAAGGTGTCTAAAAAAAAAGAAAATAATAAAAGGTCTTTAATGCCTGAGGTGGGAAAATATGATTTGTTGGAGGCTTGATATGTGCCTTATGATTTGGGGTATTTATTTATTTATGATGTGATCCATAAAGATGATCAGATGGAGCCGTTAAGCAGAGGTGATTGATGCGAGTTGCTGTCGGTGCGTGCGGTTTGTCTTGTGAGATCTGTGCTGAATCTGCTCTGTTTTAAGTGTTTTTAACACAGCACCGGCACTCATTTCAGCCGAACGGCATGACAATATATCCGTGCTAACAAACGACATACTGAGTTCATGATTAAAACCAGCATTCAGACCAAATATTAAAGTCTTGGTGATCTGAATACTGTTTTGCTTCACATTATGATATAATGTGTGCATTCAGAAGTGATGTTTGTGTGTGAAGGTTTGCACACCTGTCATTCACATGCTCTAACGCAAACCCAGCAGCAGTGTGATATAACAGGACACTAGTGTGACAGGAATATTAATGCACTCGTTTGGCAGCCGTTGCTGCTCCATCACTTACTTTCTTTGTGATTTTTATCATTTATTTCCTTGTTCTCAGAGATCAGTGATAATGACATTCATGCGTTTGTCTTATCATCTTATTAAAATGTTGGTTACTAAAGCAATAAGCCCCGTGAAGCCGTGGTTTACAGTGAATAATGCCCCTTAGCTGTTGTAAATTCACTGTAAACCACGGCTTCACGGGGCTTATTGCTTTTATAAAACGGTTATTCCATATAGGTAGTACGGATTTACAAAATAAAACGGAGCAAATAAAGTGTAATGATATTAATAAAAACAGTATTCTTCCACCAAACAATGTAGCTCCTCAGAAACAGTTGTGGTTGCAACAAAGTGGTTGCCGAGCAACAGCCAAACGTAAACAAAGGTGTATGTTACTTTGTAGAGTAATTTACAACAGCTTCGAACGCGGCTCAACCAATCAGAATCAAGCACCGGAACTCTCCGTTTTTATAAACATTATTTTAAGGTTTCCTTGTTACTATTACTAAAAATGTTGAAAATTATTAATACAAAAACAGAAAATATAAAAATAAAAAACCTGATTCAAAATATTAATAAAAACGATAATCTTATCTCAGTGATACTGAAACAGCACTGGTCTGAGGTGTTTTGTTTGTGTGTTTATTTCAGTTACTTAACATTTTAATGGCTATAAAGTCTGATTTCACGGCAGTGCATGTGTTCATGTTATTTTTGAGAAAATCAAGTGTATGCATGTTTAGCAAAACAAATACTAAAATTATTTTTACGTGCACTTACTGTACTTACAATGTACTTACCTGAGAAAGTCCTGGATAATATACGGTAGTTACATGGGTTAAGGGTATGTTCCAGGTTAGCACCTAGTTATTAGTACTTATTGTGGTAACACTTTAGGACAGGGACCAATTCTCACTATTAACTAGTTGCTTATTAGCATGCCTATTATTAACATGTTGGCTGTTTATTAGTACTTACAAAGCATTTATTCTGCATGACAATATTCTACTTCCTGTATTCTTCTGTATTATGACGTACATCTGAGTGAAACCGATTCTCCACAAATAAAGAATGTAGGGCGGGGCTTGGTTCTGTGCATTGGCTGTTGATTGGATGTTGAGATGTGGGCGTGGCACTCTGGCAGGGGGTGGAGCTTACGAGCATTAAATGATACAAGGTAAAAATTTAAAAACATAAACATACTGTATGCATGAATTGTTCACTGTAAAATCTATGACATGCATTTAGAAAATAAATTTTCTATTGTATGCCAACTTTATAGAAGTTATTTTGACAGCAAGCAAGATAAACAGCTTTGAATATCTTTTGAGCAATGCATAAACTACATGAATGACAATATAGTGTTAAAGTGAGCGTGTGTACAGTGAGGGATTTAAAAATGTGTCCTTTTTGTTCTATTAAGAGATATAAATATTGGTTTTTATTCTATTAGATATTTAAATATTGGTCAGTTTTATTCTGTGTGAGTGTGTGTGTGTGTGTGTGTGAGTGTGTGTGTGTGTGTGTGTGTGTGTGCGCGTGCATGCGTGTGTGTTTGTGTGTGTGTGTGTGTGTTTGTGTGTGTGTGTGTTGACGGTGGCTGTCAGCAGTGATGTCTCCTGTGTGCACTCACATTGCTGACATGCTGCTGGATTTGTGCACTATTCCTACAGTATAAAGCATGGAATTTAGCCTAAAAAAAGTAGCATTTAACTCTAGTATACAGATCTATAGAACAACAGGTTACAGAATGAAATGAAATATGCAAACACCAGCCATGCAAATGTCTATGCTATTTCATTCAGTATAGCCTAATAGTTAAATTTTAACAAAATCATTCTAAAGACATACATAAGAGCACAAAGTTATCATATAGCAATGGTTAATTGAAACTATAACAGCAATATGTATTGTTGCATGAATAATAAACAACATATGCACTCATATGATGGAAATGCTTTCTTTAGATGAGCGATAAACCAGTCGTCACATTAACCAGTGGCTTCAGCATGCATCCAACAATCAGAGCGCTAGTTAAAGAGATGGAGCTGCTGAAGCAGAAGAAACACGGCCGTGTGCTTCTGACAGAGCGTTCATAATGTCTGTAATGGGGTGTGTGATGGAGTTTGCGGGGTTAATTGGTGGCTGAGCAGATGTGTTGTTTGTGGAGAGCGTTTAACTTCAGATCAATCAAAACAAAACCTGCTCACAACTTTATGAAGTTTTTGAAGAGTGGTGTATCAGCTCTCTCACACTGGTACTGCAATTATTACATTTGCATTTATGCATCTGGCAGACGCTGTTATCCAATGCAAAATTGCATTCATTAGTATATGCGTTCCCTGGGAATCGAACCCATGACCTTAGCATTTAGATCTAGCTATATTGTGTTTATAGAGTTGTCTAGCACACATATCAGTGCTGCAGTCACACACTCGGGCATTCAGAGCTAATAAGAGACTGAAATACTGCTGGGGTTTGTGCTGTTAATTCATTTAAATATTGGTCAGTTTTGTTCTATTAAGAAATTTCAACATTGGTTGGTTTTGTTATCTTAAGAGATTCGAATTTTGGCCAGTTTTGTTCTATTAATTAATTTAAATAATGCTCCGAAATGTAAAACAATGGTCAGTTTTGATCTATTAAGAAATTTAAATATTTGTGCTGTTAAATTTAAATATTAGTCAGAAATTTAAATGTTGATCAAAGATTGAAATATCAGATGGTTTTGTTCAATTAAGAATTATATATAAATAAATATTGATCAGTTTTGTTCTATATATTTATTCTGTCAAGAAATTTTGGTTGATTTCTTTTCTGTTAAGAAGTTTAAATATCGATCGGTTTTTCTTTATTAAGAAATTAAAATATTGGTCAATTTTGTTCTGTTATGAAATTAAAATATTGGTCAGAAATGTAAATATTGATCACAGATTTGAAAGTCTGTTGGTTTTGTTCTATTGAGAGAATCTAAATATTGGTCAGTTTTGTTCTGTTCTAAGAAATTAAAATATCGGTTGGTTTTATTCTTTAAAGAAATTTCAGCACTGGTAGGAAATTTAAATATTAGTCCATTTTTTTTCTATTAAGAAATTTAAATATTGGTCATATTCAGTACTGATCTTTTTTTGAGAGAGAGTTTTTACTGTCGGTCGGTTTTGTTCAGAGCGAGAGTAAACGATTCTCAAAGAGTATAAATGAAAATATGATTAGGCCTAAAGATGATGAAAAAAAGAAGAGGCCTAAAGAGCAGCTTCAGTCACTGGCAGGAGAATCCAGAAGCAGGAGTTCACACTCGATGAGGGGCTGATAATGATGTAGTGTTTCAGTTTAGGATCTCGTCACACTGAAACTTTGCAGTGAGAATCTGCGGGTCTGTAGGTGTTTCTCATCACAGATTCACCAAATAATGCCTGAAAGCAAGCTAAACGAGTTAGAAATCAAGATGATGAAATCACGTTTCTGGCTTTGATTTGTTTCATCAACAACTGTCATTTTGATCAGGTTTAAAAGTGTGATTTCTGGAAATTAATACAATCTTAAAAGCTCTTAGACCTTTCTATAATGAATATGCATTAAAAAAGAAGAGGCCTAAAGAGCAGCTTCAGTCACTGGCAGGAGAATCCAGAAGCAGGAGTTCACACTCGATGAGGGGCTGATAATGATGTAGTGTTTCAGTTTAGGATCTCGTCACACTGAAACTTTGCAGTGAGAATCTGCGGGTCTGTAGGTGTTTCTCATCACAGATTCACCAAATAATGCCTGAAAGCAAGCTAAACGAGTTAGAAATCAAGATGATGAAATCACGTTTCTGGCTTTGATTTGTTTCATCAACAACTGTCATTTTGATCAAGTTTAAAAGTGTGATTTCTGGAAATTAATACAATCTTAAAAGGTCTTAGACCTTTCTATAATGAATATGCATTTTTCTAGTTATGTCAAGTTCTATTAAAAAAATCATTGTGAAGACATTTCTTATTTTATTATGAAATTTTAATTTAATTTATATTTATTTTATGCAATTATTTTAATGTATTGCTAATTATTTGACTATATTTTATATTATTGTATTTAATATATGCATTATATAATATATAATGTTGAAAACAGTTGTGCTGCTTCTTATTTTGTGGAAACTGTGACACTACATTTAGTAAGATTCAGTAAGATTTTTTTTTTTTTTTACAAAGTAGTATAAATTAATACTTTTATTCATCAAGGACGCATTAAATTGATCAAAAGTGTCAGTAAAGACAATTATAACGTTACAAAATATTTATATTTCAAATAAATGCTGCTCTTTTGAACTTTGTGTAATATTTCACAATTCTACTGCATTTTTGATCAAATAAATGCAGCCTTGATGAGCAGAAGAGACATTTTAAAAATCGTAATTATTGCAATCGTTGGACAGGCAGTGTGGTTTCACACGGGTTTGGTCTTTGGTGATGAGCTGTAGTTTGATTCAGAGTTTTCTGCTGGGTTTGACTCATGAAGGTGGTCCACCGCTGTGTTTCGGGCTGGTATCATGTGCCGAGAGGTCGGCCTCTAAAGCCACTAAACAAGGCCCTCCGGATCCCAGCGCAGCCTTATTACGGCTCCCGAGGGCCATCAACAGCCTCCCGCTCATTACAGCACCTCGCCGCTGCTAAGTGCTAATCTTTGGCGTATTAAAGCGCGCTTGTTACAGACGTCTGAGTGAACACTTTACACACTGCTATTGTTTACTCACGGCCGCGCCGAAAAGTGGTTCGATGTTGATCTGTAATCAGCGGCGACTGCTTTAATCTGGAGGTAAGTGCAGCGTTCGCCCGTCGGGTCACGAGCAGCAGCCTCTGATTTATTCGCCGTCTGCTCTCGGGTGAATTTCAAAATAAAGTGTATGTAACCCGTCATTATTCTGCTGTGCTGGAGTGGGATGTGAGTGGATGAAAATTGATCCAGCCAATTGAAAAGGGGGTTAAGTGTTTTTGCCCTTATCGACGGCACAACAAAGCGGCTGTTGTATGAAACACTCATTTGTCCCCCTTTAGCAGATGAGACGGTGTTATTTGAGGGCTGTGAGTTTGAGAGGCGATAATGGCCTGCGCACAGACGCCAGCCCAGAATAAAGATTTTAACTCTGCGGATGATGATGAAGACATTTAAAGCCATCACTGCCGCTCTCCAGTGTGATGAAATGATGTAAAATGACCCGTGCGTGTCTTTGTTGTGGTTCATCTCTGCGTTCGCTTTTGCTGGTTTAAGCTGGTTTAACTGGGTTCAGGTGGAAAGCAGCTTGGATGTTTTGTCAGCATGCATCGGCTCCACAAGCCTTCGCTTCGCACTGCTTTGCAACACTTTATACAGGCTTCTGTGGGTCTTAAAGACTTAATTCGCCTTTCCACAAAATAAGGCCTAAAAAGGTGTTGGTAGCACTTAAAGCATTTATATATAATGCATTTAAAAAGTATTTTAATGCATCAATGAATGCACCTTATAATGCATCGTATGATCTCATGAATAATTGTAACCACAGTTATGATAAATGACAATATTTTACTATTCATTGCTACACCTTTAGAAAGTGCAGTGCATTAAAACACATGACAAACAAACCTTCAGATATTACTGTATAATGCATTTTAACTGGTTACGATTATTCATGAAAAAATGCATTACAACATATATTATGAACTCCTTTCTTATGCATTATACATAAAGGCTTCTTTAAGAGTTACCTCTTAAATCAGAGCAGAAAGTCTAAAATTCATAGTCATTGCATTTAATGTTGCATGCACTGCACAAATGAAACATTCTTAAACAAAGATACATTTAAACATTCTTAAATAAACATTTACTTGAGATGCACAATGAAGAAGAATATGAAGTCTTGTTTTCTGAGAAATATAGTTATGTGTGTTTATGATTAAAACAAGAACAATTATCTGTTTCTGGTCTGAAAACTCAGCCGGTTTTCCCTTTGAATGAGGTTTATTTTTCTGACCACACTGGCTGATATTTGTTCTTGTTTTAATCATAAGCTCTCTCCATTTTGATGAATTTCTTTGTGTTCTCTGTAATCTCCTTAGATTTTCTTTACTTGGTGTTAAAAGAAAGTCTTAAATTTACCTTTTTAATCTGCAGAAACCCTGTTAGTCAACTTCATGAGTTGCCACGAACGTGTTTCTAAGACAAAAACGGGAAAAAAATATAATTTGCTAGGGCTGAAATCAAGGTTCCTGATAAATCGAAATGCATTTTAATTTAGTTTTAGTTTTTAAACTCCGCATCTCAGTGTGTGTAGTTTCAAAGCAAGTGCATTGGGTTTAGATCCGCGGCTTCAGTGTTTTGAATCCTCTTGGATATGATCAACTGTTGAATGAAAAACATTTACAGTCCTTAATTCTCTTGCTTTCTTCACCGTCTTACGTGCATCTTTTCATTGATGTTGCAGTGCATGTTGGGATTGTTTCAGGTGGAGAGCAGCGTTGCAGTCGTGCCGTCGTTACCCAGAGGAGCAGCGGTGGAGCTGCATGTCACGGCTGTGCTGGACCGTCCCACAGACAGAGCGTCTCATCTCTCCGTCTCACAGATCCCGGCGTGCAGCGTCGAGTGCCGTCTGCTGCAGTCCAGCTGCGCTCGATACACCTCTCTGTCTCTCAGCGTGTGTCTGAGCGATCCTCACGCAGCAGCCGAGAGCATCACCGATCAGCTGCTGTCTTCATACCGGAGCGCTCTTCTCAAGACCGCCGGTCTCTCTGCTCTGTGTGCCAGAGTTTTCTATAAGAGCCACGACTCGCTCGTCACACAGATCGCCACAGGTACGGTTCAGCTCCATAGTCTAGTAGCTCTGTTTGCTGAAATTCTCTTTTGTTTTGATCACTCTTAAAATGAATAGTTAGCTCTCAGGCCGTCCAAGATCAGGATGAGTTGTTTCTTCATCAGGTTTGTAGAAATGTAGCATTGCATCAGTGTCTCAGCAATGGATGCTCTGCAGTGAATGGGTGCCGTCAGAATGAGAGTCCAAACAGCTGATAAAAACATCACAATAATCCACAAGTAATCCACAGCACTCCAGTCCATCAGTTAACATCTGGAGAAGACAAAAGCTGAAACAAATCCAGCATTAAGACGTTTTTAACTAAAATACGAGTCCATAATCCATAATAACGCTTCCTCTGGTGTAAAAGTGCATCTCCTGTTGTCTCTCTCATCAAAATCCAGCCACATATTTGTTTAGAGCTGTTTAAACGCTGCTTGATCTGTGCAGAGTCAGTTAATTACGTCTTGATGGATCATATGTGATGCATGTCACACCCGTCACTGTTCACACGCACTGATTCATTCAAAAGTGATTCGTACAAAAAGACTGATTCACTGAGGAACGAAACACTGCTGTGTTGCTCAGAGATGCACAACAGTTCTGTTAACAGTTCTATTCATTTATTTTTCTTTGCAAAATAGAGAAAAAGACAGATATTAACTTCCGGTTTATTGAACTGTTGTATAAATCAATATCACATTTGCAGTCGTGCTGATATTTGAGAAAAACAGCACTCCCTGCTGGTGTGATATTGCTTGACTATGACACACACACACACACACACACACACACATGCACAAGCATTATTATTATTGTCTAATGAATTTTCTTTGTTTTCTAATAATATTTTGTATAAGAATGTTCTCATCTTTTTTCTTAAGATTGTTCTAAAGACAAAGCTTAAGAAGAATTTGAATTACTGAAACAAATCTTCTTAAAAATCACCGAAAAATAACCTCTTAGAGTTAGGATAACCTTCAGCTTGTCTGAAATCCACAAAAGTAAGTTGATTAATGATTTTATTGTTTCAAATATAAAACATTACAACAAAACACCAGCTATATATGACAAATATTACTATTACTAGTAATGCAAACATGATTATGGCATGATATGACTTTTTTGCTGAATTCATAATTCGTTAACGATTCTAGAAAAAAACACTCAAATAGGGACCTCGTTTGTAATTTTATAATTACAAACTCATTTTCAGCAGCATACACAGGGAAAAAAAGATGTTCTTAAGAATATATGAGAACATCTTAAGAATTTTTCAAGAATTTCACTTACGAACATTCTTATGAACGTCTTAATTTTTTTTTTACAAACATTTTATGACATTTCTTAACGTCTTTAAGCAGATTTTCATGAATCTGGCCCTGCTTGTGGAAAGGTCCCCAGCACTTTCCCACAATTTCACAGGCCGAAATGTAATTACACTTCTATAATAGAGTTTCCAGAGCACTAATGATAAGATCATATATTAAGATCATATTTGTCACGGTCAAGGTGTGTGGAGGCAGGCAGGATGACGAGGACGACAAGGATATTTAATGTAGAGACAACAAGGCAGATTAGAAGGTACAGAGGCAGTTGTCCGGGTAGTGCGTGAGGTGGGCCAGGGACAGAAAGTCGTTTGTGTGGTCCTCAAGAGAGCGTTCCCCCTGCTCCAGCAGGAGGATCTCGAAGGCGGGGTAATCCATAAAAAAAATAAAAAATAAAAACTGACAAAAACTGGAAAAAACAAACGAGGGGAAAGACGCCGCTATACTTTACTTAAAGGGTCGGTTATTCTGTCACGGTCAAGGTGTGTGGAGGCAGGCAGGATGACGAGGACGACAAGGATTCAAATAAGGATATTTAATGTAGAGACAACAAGGCAGATACGGGTAGATGACACACACACACACACACACACACACACACACACACACACACACACACACACACTCAGGGTAACATTCACAATAACCGACAAACTAGACTACAGGAGGCAGGAACTAATATAGGGTGGATAACGAGGGGCAGACAGGTGAGCCCAATCAAGGTAATTAACTACTAATGAGGACAGGAACAACCAAATAAGGACACAGGGGCGTTACAATATTAGCAGCCCTGTCGCACATGTCGAGTGGTTTGCAGTCCACTGAGAGTCCGAGCGCTTTCATATTTACACGACGTTTCTTGAGTACAGTTAACTAATTAGAGATTTAGATAACCTGTTATATTATGTTTAGATGGCTTATATTTTTAGATAACGTATTATAGTTAACTAAAACCATTAAAAAAGCATTCTCATTGCTTGAAACAAAACAAATGTTAACTGAAATAAAATGCATTTAAAAAATATAACTTTAATATTTTCTTTATTATTTCAGTTAAGTTTAACTTGATGTACTGAAATGACTAAAATAACTAAAACCATTTTTTTTTAAAGTGTTACTTTTGTTACTAAAGTTTTTTTCTATTTTTTTTTTACTTTCTGCTGGTTGATGAAATTATGTTTTAAAATAACTAAAACCAAAATAAAAATTGACAAACTATATAGATATTTTTTTAAGAGTGCTCGGTCTATTTCGTTTTTTAAGTCTAGACTATTCTATGGCCTTTCCTGATTTTTAATTTATGGATTAGTATTGTTATTTTGTATTTTAATTTGTATTTTATTTGATACTTTACTGTATCTTATGATTGTTTTGCACAGCACTTTGGTCAGTGTAAGCTGAATTTAAATGTGCTCTATAAATAAAATGTACTTACTTTAAAGCAAAAACCAATGAAAAAACAATCAACAAAATTACTACAATTTGAAAATAGAAAATATAGAAACAAATTCAAACTGCTAATTGATAAAAACTACATAGACATATTAAAAAGCACAAATACTAAAACTTTAACTAAAATACAAATATATTAGAAATGTGTTCAAATTAATTAAAACCTAAAATATCAAACTGATTCAAGTTATTAGTAACTACAATAGCATCTCAGGTCGTGATCTGATGTGCTCAAGGTGTTAAAATTAAAGAGAAGGATATTGTTTTATTATATTATCATTCATAAGGCATCTAAATTCTTTGTTTACTCTTGCAAATAATTGTACAGGAGCGAAACTGTAAGCATTTGCATGTTTTGACAGACACATTGATTTATGAGTTCCTAACCGCACATTAATGTGAAGCAGCTGATTCCTCATCATCTGGTGTAGGGTTTTCTGTGTCAGCGTCACATGAGCGCAGAAACCGATGCTGTAGCATATGTTCAGACGTGTTTATGGAGCTGTCAGTCGTCCTGAGGGCCTCAGAGAGCGCCGAGAGCCGCTTCACGGGTCAGAGCCCAACAATATCAGAGGAGAGATGAAGACTTCTGCCCTCCAACCCTTCTGCTTGGACGGGACAGTTGAGCATGAAGACATGCAAGCCTGAATCTCTCTCGGATCTCCTGACGGATGAGTGTTTGGCTTCTGGACATTCGGACACGTCTCAGAAAGCGACTGCAGAGGTGTCTGCGCTCTTGAGTGCTTCAGAAATCAAGCGGATGTTCCTCAGATGTTTACATGCACATCAATACAATCCGTTTATTGAAATAACCTGTTTGAACAGTTTACATGCAGAACAATAGCCTGGCAACACAAGAGTTATTTCCTGTATATTCTGTATAAAAAAAGGTTTGCATGTGTGTTTTGAGCATCATATTTGATGCATCAGGCTCATATAGTCTGATATAGTGAGAATATGGAGGAAAAAACAGCTCAGGTTTATTCAGAGACTCAAACTGAGCAAAAATATGCAATTTAGGTGCAGATGCTGATATTTATATGATGATATTCTGATGCTTGTGATTTTAAATCAATGATATGTTTATTACAGTAGAGCAGATACTGACATAAAATGATCTAAATATCAGTCATCGCTCTATATCTCCAGTAATCTGTCTCAGTAAGATGAGATTGAAATGCTCCAAACATATAATGCAGTGATTGAGAGCTGAAGAAATAAAGGCTCCTCAGAAGATGTGAGATGTTCTGGAGGCTTGTGAAGATCATTCCTCCGCTGAGGAACAGTGAAAGTAAAGCTTCTGGAAACAAACGCTCCTCAAAAGATCCTGAGGATCAGATTTGAGACTCTAAAACATGATTGATGGAGAATCAAGTAAAGCTGAGCTGCTTCAGTCCAGTAAGTGTTCATCTGGAGATATTACTGCAGTTATTCTGACCTTTACTTCAGTCAAAAATCTGTCCAGATTTGACACGAGAAGCTGGACAGGACTAACAGCACAGTTTGATCATGTTGATCATTTAGGGACCTTAGAAATGTGCGTATGCAGTAGGCTTTATAGGGTTAAATCCACAGTAAGAGTGCTTTCTATCACATGCACACTTCAGTAAGCAGCACGATGCAGGTTTATATGCCGAGTGAAATCAAAGTAATGGGTAAAACTGGTTTATGCATAAGAAAACAGGTCAACACGTGTTGTCGGCTTATGCATAATCAGTTTATAAATGTGCTCAAAGTCTGAATTTCATCATGAGCTGATGGCAGCAATCACACAGTGGTTAAGCGGTTAATGTAACTGACCCGCGGGCCGTGCGTTAGGAAAACATGACCGTGTCAGAAATCCACTGCAGGAATCAATGCGTCTTTGCTGATGCTGTTCTCTGAAGGCTTCGTTTTCACTTTCTGCTTTTCTATTTCCATTTAATGAATGTTTAAATCGGTCATGAAAGCAAGTTTTCACTATAGCTACCGTTTAATTGTTCACATTTCAACAAGAGTAGAAACAATTGTCATTAAAAAGTTTAGATAAAACTTTGTGCAATTTAAATGCTTACATGCAACTCTGCTTATATTTGAGTGCTTTGATTATTAAATAAATTAGATTAATGAACTAATTAATTACATAGTCTTGGATCTTGATAAAAAAAAACATGTTGATTTGCATTAAAAACCACATATTATTTGCATTAAAAAACACATATTACAGAATTTGTTAATGCCG